AGCTGAGCAGCTCTTCCTGGGTGTGCACACACAGATACACGTAGTCCTAACAAACACAGCTCATCCTTACCTGAACCATGGTCATGACATGGCAGGGGTTCAGCAGATAGATCACAGTCTTGGTGGCGAATTTGAACCCCACCTCCACTCCAAAAGTCATGCAAAGCGCCACCAGCAACAGGTTCTTGCCCAGACTATCCTCTTTTACCCGTGTGCAGTCCTTTGCAACCACTCTGAGCTCCTTGGAGAGGTTGATCTTCTTCAGCGCCAAGCCGATCTCCAGCAGGGAGATGAGGACGATGACCAGACTCTCGCTGACACGCTGCTGGGGCGCGATGAACGCGGCGCACTCGGGGCCCCCGTTGCCCTCAAACTTGGGGTCCACCCCGCCGTAGATCCAGTCCAACAGGCTGTATATGTTATATCTGGACATATTCCTCTTCTCGTGTTGGAAAAGATACGAACAAGATGGAATAAAAGACGTCACACCGACTTCTTGGCGAAACATGAACTACGAGATTTCCCTTTCGTCGTTGGTCTCGTGGTTGAGAGGTAGACATGTATCCACCGCTTTGGTGTGTTGTAAGCCGGGTGAATCTCCGAACTACCTCATCCACACACAGATGAGGAACTTCAGCTAGCAGCGGGAGGCAGCTGGACTCAACACTACCCGCAGCCGCTGCTGCTGCCGGGAACTGGGCAGTGCCAACGGCTGTCTGTCTTCTTCCTTTACGTCCCCTCACACCGTTAGAAACTCAGCGAGCTAATGTGGACAGTCACACCGGGATGTGAGACAGGAAACCATGCTGACTAGGTGCTCTTAGTCCTGTCAAGCTAGTCCATAGAGCCAGTAGTGAAGACACCGGATAGCTAGCTAGGTTAGCTAACAGTACCAGTGCTACCTTGCTCACTAGAGCGCTGTGTTCTTTTCACCCCGGGGTTTAGACTCTCAGGCTGAGCTCAAATCTGATTGGTTTACAGCGTCGGTGCTGCATTCAGGGGCCCTGGTTAAATGGGAAATTATTGAAATATGAATATTTACGAGGCCAGTTTTCCGCTTTGCTGATTTTTTTTTTTTTGCTCTCTACTCTTTTACTAAATTAAAAGTGATGATGTTAGCTGAACAATTACATTTGGTTTGTGATTTTTGTTGCACGTTCCTTGGACAATAATTTGCACATTTCTGCATGTAAATACCACATCTAAAAACTGCACAGAACTTTATTCAGATAAATTGTATATGATTTGTAGTATTTTTTCATATATTTAGTGTCGTTTTCTCCTACATTTATGTCTCTTGATTTGTGCTACTTGCTTTATTGTAAATTTTTCTTTTAATATGTTTATGTTTTGCACCAACACTCCAAAGCAAACTCCTTGTATGTGAGAACCTACTTGGCAAAAAACATTCTACATCTTACTTTGTAAACATGAGTATAATAACAGCAGCGATTTATATTAAATGATGACTTGCACCTTAATGACAACACACTTTCTTTTTTAATTTCATTTTCTTTTAATATGTTTATTTTTTGCACCTACACTCCAAAGAAAACTCCTTGTATGTAAAAATCTACTTGGTATTATACTTCTGATTCTACCTGACAGCAGCGACATTCAAAGCTGGTATTTACGACTTATATTAAATGTTGAAATCCACCTTAATGACAGTATACATCCTTTTTTTTTAACTTCAGGGTGCACCATAATCTGCCACACAGGGTACTTTGCCTGACAGTCAACTCTGAGGGCATTAAAACTCTTCCCAATCCGAAGAGGACACCAGCACACGTGATGCTTGGGATGGTGCGTTCATAAAAACGCAGGAAACTTCACATGTCCTTGTTGCATGTGACAACTGAATTGCAGATTGAATGCAGTCATGGTGATGCTTCTGTTCCGTTGCTGCATCAGCACCAGTGGTAAATGAAGTACCTGAAAGCCACACGTGAGAAAAGTACAGATATCTCACCAGAAACTGATTTGGGTAGAAGTTAAAGACAGCTATTAAAATATTACTTGAGCAAAAGTCTTAAAGCATCTGATATTTACTGTGCTTAAGTATCAGAAGTAACTTTATGATCTTAAATATGCTTAGTATTGAAAGTAAAAGTTCAAGTTACTGCTGTCAGTAAAAAGTAAATGTTCAGAATTTTTAAAATTATGAAGATTATTTCTTCGTAACATGTACACCACCCTCAAAAATGGAGCCTACATTGCACTAAAATAAAACAAGGTCCTCTTTAAAATGTGTTTTATTGTAGCATGCCCACATGTAACCACATAAATGAGCAAGTACTGTATCTAAATACATACATATGCAGTTTGATCGTAATATGCTCTTTGCCCTTTTTTATCTGAACAGACAGTAATAACTGAGAAAAAATATATTCATACAATAAATGAAAATAAAAATACAATTAAAAGCAATAAAAATTATAATAATAAAGAAAAAAAGGTCTTCTTCACAACTTGAAGGATTTAAAGAGCAAAATCCAGTTTTTCCTTCACTCTCATTCCTTTATTCATCCCTCCTTTGTTCCGTCCATCTGCCCCTTCCTCTGTCCGTTCTTCCATCCTTCCCTTATTTGTAGTAAGTAATTAAGGTGCCCAGGGGAAATGTATCGGAGTAAAAGTAGACATTTTATTTAGGAAATGTAGTAGGGTAAAATTGGAAGATGATAGAAAGATACTCCCAAAAAATACTTAAAGGGACAGTGCACCCAAAAATGAAAATTCAGCCATTATCTACTCACCCATATGCCGAGGGAGGCTTTGGTGAAGTTTTAGAGTCCTCACATCACTTGCGGAGATCCAAGGGGAGAGGGGGTAGCAGCACAACTCCATCTAATGGAGGCTGACGGCGCCCCAGATTCAAATGTCCAAGAACACATAACTGAAACCACAATATATCTCCATATCAGTATTCTCCAAACAACTTTTTATGTCGGGGCTTCAGGACACTTAGATCACTACGCACAAGCAGTATGGAGATGTTTTGTGGTTTCATTTATGTGTTTTTGGATGTTTTAATCTGGGGCGCCGTCAGCCTCCATTAGGTGGAGTTGTGCTGCTACCCACTCCCCCCTCGGATCTCCGCAAGGGATGTGAGGACGCTAAAGCTTCACCTGAGCCTCCCTCGTCATGAGGGTGAGTAGATAATGGCTGAATTTTCATTTTTGGGTGCACTATCCCTTTAAGTACAGTAACAAAGTATTACAGTATTGCATCATGCCACTGATTAGCACAGAGGCTTCTCAGCCAGCTGAGTTTTACTTTAATTTCATCACATGTCGGGGTAATGACAGAGTCAACAATAATTATTTTTGGTAATGGGTTTCCATCACGGGCAGTGTCTCTCAAATGTTGTGTGTGCCAAGATGCAAAATTTTAATTGACTGTATCAGTATGTTATGCGCACTCATTTCCTAATAAAGAGGCAAACGCTATCTTACAAAATGTAATTTAATTGAATTTAAAAAACTTTCACAGGGAACCTATTTGTCGCCTTTCACAGAAGGGAATTATAAGTGTGTGACACATCACAATATCTATATTATCTTACTATATTATTCCCTTTTAAATGGATGAGTTATTGGTGCTTTGATGTAATTTTAAAAAGTCTAAAATGAGTTCTTGAATCATTTTCTCAATAAAAATTTCACGAGTAATAGCTGGTTGTCAATTGTTATTTGATTTTAGTCATTAAAAACACTGAATCAAAAGAAGAACACCCGTGCACTGTCTGCACTTGCAAAAATAGTTTAATATATTAGGCTACAACGTTTTGGTCATGGACCTTCATCAGGTAGAGGATCATTAAAAACAAATATTTATGTCCTGATAAGAGTGATAACACACATTATAAAGTCTGCTGTGCACAGATATGAATACAGGTGTGCCTTGAGAGTTTGGCTTTGAAAACCACTGATCTATGGTACAGTCTGTAATTTAATTCCACACTATGCATAAAAAATATTTTCACATGGGGTTCTAGGGATCAAATTTCAGCAAGAGGAGTCCTGTGGAATGATTTCAACTTGTTTTATAAAATCAGTGAATGTGAGTCAGCAATGTTTATCACCTGATGCACATGGTAAGGGCACAATTAAACCTCCAGGCATGTTAACACAGCAGAACATACTGTACAGGAACAGTAAGCTCTCCTGTTGTTGACCATGTTCTCCCATTTCCTCCCAGCTATGACTTCTGCTATCGGCCCAGACAGAGTTTCAAAGATTCATACCAAATTCAGACTTAAGTTGTGATCTCTTGAGCTGTTCCTTTAAATTAGGGTAAGGATATGATTATATGATGAAGAGAGAGTTAAAATATACTAAGATAGTTATAAAATACAACAACAGAAGTTACCGTGCAGTGTAAGAAACAAATACATATTTGATTTAAAAAAAGGCAGCAGCAAAGAGAAAAGTCTTCAGCCTGTTGCAGCAGACCTGCAGTTTTCTGGGAGTTCGTTCCAGATATGTTGTGCACAAATACTTAACGCTGCTCCCTCGTGTTTCGTCTTGACTCTGGAGACAGAAAGCAGACCTGTCCCAGAAGACCTGAGAGATCTCATTGGCATAACATTGTCTGTGCACATTCATTCGACAAAGAGCAGGACACCTTTAAATTTGAGTGACAGTTTCACCTTTAAATCTTTAAATCCATGTATCCACTTAAACATTTTTTTCTAGAGTGGGCCTGTCCTCCTGAAAATATCGTGGTGTATATTTTGTATATCTTAAGTTAATTGGGTTACATATATGTACCATTAACTTGAAAATATATGTCCTAACAGTTGAGGGAATCTTGAGTGGATGGGGCTGTGTGTCTGTGCTCATGAACACACCTCTCAGGCTGCAACAAACAATTATTTGTATTGTCAACTGATGTCAGAAACTGCAAGTTGACTCACTTCACATCCACAGGGGGACATCAAGGGGTAGCTCCTCCCACATCTACGTCTATAAGTAGGAGGCAGGACCTCACTTCCTCTTCCTCCTCTTTGTCTTCAAACATTTCCATGCTGCCTGAGTGTTTGGTGGTTTTTGCCATGTGTCTTTGAGACTGTCACTGTGAGTAACATGTCCTTTTATATTATGATAAAGAAACCAGGAAATTTTTATTTGCCATTATCTTTCTTTAAACCACTGGACTCAGTTGTCCTGTCATTTGTCTGGGCAGATAAACCCCCTCGCATTTCTAAAGCCCATCTGCAGAAGAATTTAAAAAGTGGGGATCTCGGCCTCCCTGTTTTTAGGCATTATTACTGGGCTGCAAATGCGAGGGCTCTCATTTTCTGGCAGTGGGGCCCTCCTTATGATGACTGTTCCTCTCCGCTCTGGCTAAAGATTGAATCCATGTCTGTGTCACAAACCTCGCTCCCAGCATTGCTCTTTTCAAATGTACCACCATCTCACAAGTTATTTGGCTACAGTTTCGTTCTTAATAATTCTTTGAAGATATTGAATCAAATGAAAAAATTCCTTGGATTACCAAATGTTTCGGTAAATGCCCCAATAACAGGCAATCACTTGTTCAAACCAGAATTGACGGATGGGGTTTTTTTGGACTGGAGGGAGAGGGGCCTATGTTGCATTTCAGATTTTTACATAGATAACAATTTTGCTTCTTTCCCTCTGCTCCAGGCTAGATATCACCTTCCTCAGTCACATTTTTATCGATATTTACAGGTGAGACATTTTGTAAGGGAACACTTTTCTGATTTCCCAATAAGACCACACAATTATAATTTTTATGATACATTTCTCTTACAACCAAACTCCAAACATTTGATTTCCCGCTTTATCACTGCTTTTGAGACACCAGAGTACCAGTCATCTCAGGGAGGCATGGGCAAAAGAATTGGGAGTTCCACTGTCAGATGAATTATGGGAGGAGGGCCTGTCCAGTATACAGAAGTGTTATATAAACTCTAGATATCGGTTAATTCAATTTAAAGTCATACATAGACTGCATTATTCCAAAACTAAACTTAATAGAATATTTGAATCAGTGTCTCCCATGTGTGATAGATGTGGCAGAGCCGAAGGTTCACTCGCACATTTTTTCTGGCACTGCCCAGTACTGGACAACTTTTGGAGTGACATATTTAACTGGTTTTCTAAGCAATATAAAATAAACATTCAACCAGACTGTAACCTGGCAGTCTTTGGCTCCTCTGAAAGGACATTGACCCTCCCTTCCCACTGTAAGCAGGCTCTCAAAACAGGCATGGTAGCAGCCAAGAAATTGATTTTACTCAACTGGAAGTCTCCATCATCCCCTTGCTTTAAGAGGTGTCTCAACGAAATGGTTTGTGTTTCTAGGATGGAACAGATTCGCCTTAGCAGAGGGAAGGCACCAAATTCTTATGAGAAAGCGTGGAAACCATTTTTGGCTTTACTTGATGAGACCTAAATGACTAATGTATTAATCAGGCTGCTGTGTGTTTGTAAAAAAAAAAAATTTTTTTTTTTTCTGTACCGTCTAAGGTTTTGATCCTCCTCTCTGGGTTTTCTTCTTTTTTTTTCTTTTTTTTTTTTCTTTTTTGAGTGTGTGTTTGTTTTTTATTTTGTTTTGTTTTTTATTCATACCCCTGACGGTATCACGAGACAGGAAGCACAGGACTACTTTGGTTATTATATATATCCTCATATAGCCTCTGTCTTTCTTTTTATTACTTCACTTACTTCATGTAACAATGTCAGATGCTGTATACCTATTTTGTATGTGGGTTTTTTTCTATTTTTTTGTAAAAAAAAAAAAAAAAAAGTTTAAAAAGTTAAAATAAAATATTCAAAAAAAAAAAAAAAAAAGAAACCAGGAAATCTCCCCATGATGACCATCCATCATGCTACAATCAGGACAAACACTGGCCATTTTATCATAGCATCAAATGTTAAACGTAAACGTAATGGATACCTGGTGAGATTGTGTCACAGCTGTTGTGTCTGATATACTGTAGTTCTTTAACAGTTAATGATTAGCCCCAACTTTGTTTTTGTGTGGAAAAAAAAATCCATACCCACTTCCATTTTATTGCAAGCTGTCACTCCAAATGAGGAGTGCTTCCTAATGAGCAGTGGGTAATAAAGGGACTGGTAACTGTGGGACACCTTCATTAGTGTTGGACAAAAGCAGCCATCACTGTGCTGCCCTACAATGGCAAAAGACCTTAACTTACAAGAGCTGAGCTTAATGAGTTGTAGGCATTTTATTGGAAATGTGTCAATTCAGTGTTTTTTAAATGAACATCTACAGAAAAATCTTGAGCTGAAACTTGACCTTTGACCCTTACTTTTTTCCTTCATCTTTGTTTGTAGAATTATACAAACACACGTTTCCATTATTACATTTTCTTTATAAATTCTCCTGAGTGAGAATCCAAGACTCATCTGTAAAGACCTCCTGTACTTCCCTGTCCCTCCACTTTTTTGGAAAAAGTGTCCTATGTTCCCCGGTCCCTATATTATGGGGGAACATAGGACCTGGGGAACATAGGTACGGTCCCTCAGTCATTACCTAGGCTACTTTCCCACCCTTTACTTTGGTAGCAGAAACAGTCTGGCATTACTTTAAAGTGTTTTATGTGACATATCCAGAGTAGCTCACCACCTAACATTTTATTGTCTCGTAGAAGCAGGTACTTTCCCTACCGTTTCATCTCATATCATATGAAGCAACCCACTTCATTTATGGTTCTGATGATGTCGCTTGTAATTAACACCCCCGCCTCTTTCACATGAACACGCCTGCGGCTGGATAGGGAAACCCAGAGTTAGTACCAGTTATCCAGACAGACCATGTCAGGGTTAGTCAAGCCAGATAATGAAAAGATATCCAGGGTAATTTGAAGTGGTCTCATGGTACAGGCCTCTGGTCTTTATTGACCCAAAGATGACAAAATAAAGTCAAGGTCTTTTGCTTTTTGCACGGCAGCACGGCAGCACGGCTATTGCATGGCTGTCCTTACAAATGCACACCAACAAAAAACAACTGAAGGTTATCACATCACATGTATCCTCTTAATTAGGGACAAACATGATCAAGAGCCACATTAATAGGAAGGTTGTATGATTTGGATTATGAGAGGACCTAAATATTTCCTTTGAAATCCCTTCATTAGGTGTGAGGAACAGCAAAGTCTGATTGAAGTGAATTACAAAATACGCACTTGCCAAAATGAGAGTCCACTGAGAACTAATTTGTAAGCTGGTTTCCTCCATGCTCGCTTGGCATCGCGTTTCCGTCGTCGTAGGGGGTTGTGACGTCCTCTCCTCACTAATTGGTTTGGGATTGGCTTCAATATGGCAAATACTTTTCACAAACAAGCAAGGGGAGATGGAGTGGAATGAATGAGGGTGTGGGGAATGAACTGACACTGAGAAAAGAGAAGTGAAAAAGCTTTGGGATGCATCTAATGCTTCCCACAGTGCCTGCTCTGGTTGGCTGATGCTAGTTTTTTTTTTTTTAAATTACCACATGCTGACATAATTCCATTAGTGTAAGGGTGTGTGTGGCACTCGGAGCATTGCACGGCCTGTTTGAAAGCAGGTCCAGCACATGACTCCGTGTTGAAATGTTGTAAGTGTGGCTAAAACTGCTTTGCTACAGTATGCACAGGAAGGAGATACATGGCATCCTGGTTTGTGGTTGAAACTGAGCCTGAGTGTGTAATGAGTCTCTAATCTGCATAAAAAAAGTTAGTTTTATCTTAAAAGATCATTTCAAGACATAATAAATAAATAAATAACATGCACAAATGCAAATACATTCCCTGAAACTATCCAGTAGATGTTAATACAAACAGTCATATTCCTGTGAGGGGAAAAGATCCATCAGGCTATGACTAATTACTGGAATTTTATCTTTTTCAAGGTTCATGTGACTCATATTACCATTGTTTTCAATCGAAGACACAAGTGTCACCATCGATTGAAGTGCTGTGACCCCTTCAGTAGCATTTCTTAAAAGGACAGTTCACTCAAAAATAAAAAAATACACATTTTTCCTCATACTTGTAGTGCTATTTATTAACCTAGATTGTTTTGGTGTGAGTTGCCAAGTGTTGGAGATACTAATATCTGCCTTCTCTACAGTATGATGGAACTGAACCGCTAGACGGCTTCATATCTGCTAAAAGATTGTGGGTCAAGTGTTTGAGTCAAGGTTTCAAGCTGCGTATACTAAAGAATGTAGTCTGTGTCAGGTAATATTACATCCAGTCCTTCTCATACATTATATGTGTTACAGCATTGCCATGTTTGTCCCCGTGTTTCCTGGTGTTTCCCCTTCCTTGTGTCCCTGTCTGCCCTACTCCCCACTGTTTAGTTTTGTCTGTGTGCTGGCGTGGCCGTGGTCCCCCTCCCTGGTTTCCCTGGTTTCCGGCTCTCCTCATCATACTCACCTGCCTCATCAGCTCATCAGCCTGCGGTATTTCTTCTCTAGCTCTCCAACCACTCACTGCCAGATCGTTGTTCAACCAAGTGGTAGGTAAACCTCACGGCCATCTAAGACATTCTTAGTGACTTTATTCCTTGTGGGTTTTTTATGTTTATAACCTTTTTTTCCATGTTCAGGATCATCACTCACCTGCACACCACGCTTCCTTCACCATCTACCCACGCCATCCTCACCTCAGCCTCCTCCACTTCATCCCACAGACCCTGGACCCTATTCATTCCAGTTTCTTGTGACAACAAACCTTTTCAAACCTTTATGTGAAACAGGTGACGTCCTCAGACGTAAGACAAACTTACTTACTTAAAGAGTTTTTTCCTGGCAATAAAGTGAAATCAAATCAACTGGATAATACTTGGCTTGTTGTGCTCAAAGCCCCCGCCCCCCAAAAATAAATGTGAAAAACTCAACAGCAATGTGTCTTTCCAGAAATCAGGTCCGGGTTACTCAAGCTAATCCACAGACCTTCTGAGCCATTGAATATAGGAACTTTCCCCCAGCCAACCATATCACTACACAGAAGGAAGAGTGCATCTACTGCTAACTCACCTAGCATCACTGAGCTAGCTAACATTACAGCTCAGCTCAGAAGGACACCATCATGTTTACATCTCCTGCTGTCACAAGCACCAGCCAGAGTCCTACATGGTTCTAATTTTTAAGACCTGCTCCAGAAATGGAACCGCAACATGCATTACAGCACCAACACGGCCAGTTGGTTACTCAACCTGACCCACATTGCTGTTGAGTTTTTTAGATGAATTTTTTGGTGTGTTGAGCTCCACAAGCCGAGTGCCATCTAGTTCAATTATATTGGAGAGAAGGCAGACATCTCTACGGCCGATATCTCCAACACTCTTCAACTCACAACAAAACAATCAAGATTAATAAACAGCTGCTACAAGTACGAGAAAAAATAAGCATTTTTGATTTTTGAGTGAACTGTCTCTTTAAAACTCATATTTGTAGAAAAGGCACATTAAAGCTGTGAAAAATTAACATAATTAACCTGGCGGACTCCAAACAGGGTGATTCAGGCCTCCATTCAGGAGCTAAAGGGCCCGCTGTCATTTGATAAGGAAACTGTCTCATCAGCAGACTCCTTCCCATGACACACTCTGCCCAGAAAAATAAAATGGACCCCATTTCAACATTCTTAAAAGGGTAATACAGTATGTTCTCTTGGTCCCATAAGGGGAAATACTGACTCAGTTTATAATCCAATCGGGGCTATAAAGTCTAGGCCTTGTTTCAGGATGTGGAGAGGAGCAGAAAGAGGGCTAAAGATCAACTGACTTCCCAGCACTTGATCCTGGGGGATAAAGAGCGAGTCTGTTTCCTGGCTTGAGAAGCTGAACTCCTGAAGAAAAAAAAAAAAAAGCTGCCAGATAGGAGCAACATAGTGAAATCAAGCCCTGTTAGGTCTGGTGAAAAAAAAGGGCCAATTAGATGGAGATTTGAGAGGATTGAGGAAGAACAGCTGGACAGGGAGGAGAAACAGCAGCCCAGCTTCAGTTACAAAGGCAAGATATATATCAAGCTTCTTAATGCACTGTGTGTTCATGGAGGTTCAAGGCTGCATTATTTGTCTGGAAACAGAAAACGCAAAATGCAGTATTTCTCAATGGCAGCTCTTCCCACATAACAGCTGTCAATTTTTTTACGTGTCCACTTTGCATATTTTGTAAAATATGGAGGATCCATTTGCAAAAACACATATCACATTTTTTATTCATTTTGTAAACATTTTTTTGGGTGTACTCCAGGGTATATTAATCAGACTGGTGTTGTCCATTTTGAAAGTGTCCTAATCAACATGATGGCCCGAACTGTGCCAACACAATATTACCTTGAGTTAAAGTGACTTTTTATTTTAAAAAGGTGCCAAATTTCTGCCTGACAACTTTGTATTTAAAGGCCTCTAGCCTCTAGTTTTATAATAAATACTTTTGGTATTCATATAGCTTTGAGGTGAATGGCAATGGCCTACAGTAGCTATGACAGGCCCGAGTACATGCTAGGTACTAGGAATGAGTGCTCGCTCGGCTTGTTAGTCTTGATAGACCTTGAGCCTAAACTGGCTACCATATATTGTGTGGTCTTGTGACATGATCAAGAATTGGCATCAGACAACATCATAGATGAAGCCGATGCAGAAGTGCCAAAAACTGCAGTTCCTCTAATGGCCACTAGAGGCTGGCTCCAAAACAGAGTAAATCCCCATAGACCCCCATGTTAAAATGTCTGAATTTACAGCAGAAATAAACATGTTACAGCCTGGTACAAAAAATGCTTTTGCTCTTGAGCTAATTTCAACATTCATGATTTTTTTTTTTTTTTATAACTCACCTGTTTACAACCCTAACCCTTTTTATTAAGGCCCAAAGTTAAGGGTGGGGCGGCTGGAGTGACAGACTGTCTGTGAAGCATCGCCACAGTCTTTGGGTCAGATCCACCCCTCGCTCCTCCAAAGCGCCACCCTTTTGTCCAAATATTGTAACTTCTTGCCCCAAAAAATGCCAAAATGCTGAACCTGAGGCTTCAAAATGGCAGTCCACGAACCAGTGGGTGATGTCACAGTAGCTGCGCCCATTATTTATAGTCTATGATATACCCAGCAATAATCATTGCATCTGTTTTTGACAAAAATACCAAAGAAAAGAAGAAATCATTCATTTAACTTAATGTTTTTTTCAGAGTTTATAGTATTTATAGTTCATGTAGAATAAGCATATGATTTTATCATAGATTGCTACAGTCTACTTTACAAAAACGGAAAAAGATGAGACAAATTACACCATCTTTAATCTAACATGAGTTCATCTTTGAATACAGGCGTTTTTCTGGGGTGTAAATCTGGATCACTGTCCAAGGGCCTGCTCTCCACCCAACACAATGTTGAGGAGCCCATTCTGTCTATGAGTCCCAATGCAACTGTGCTGTTGCCGTATTTTGCTGTATTTAAATATTTTTCTTATGACCATCCATTTCCATAAGTTATTGTGTTTTGTTCTCAGGGAGTGGTTTCTAAAAAACTAAAGCCTTTTTAAGGATTTCTGCCTGTACTAACTGTGCCCCCCGCCCCCACCTTAGAAATCAAAAATCCGCCCCTGTTGACCACATGATCCTCCCAACATTCCCCATCTTTGTTACCATGTAGATTTCAGGGTCAATGTGTAATTCATTCCCAAGCTCCCTCAATGTCAGATTTAATCTATTAGATTTATTATCATCCATAATAAAGCCATACTGTCCTTGAAAAAAGGTGTCCATTTTGAGCTCAAACAGAGCCGCAGGTTGGTTTTTCAGCTCCGAGTCATCCCACAAGCCTCAGCATTCAAAGCTGGTTTGACTCTCCATACTGCACAGATGATGAGCCAAGTGTTGTCACAACCGAATCAACCCCTTGTTCAAACATAAAATGGATTATGTCTGAAGCAGAAAACACACAAAGACAGATGCACAAAATCCTGCACCACACTTGTTAGTGCTGTCTGTGATGTCTGTGCTTTGCTGTTCTGTACACTGTGAGCTTATGCCTGGACTTGGGATGAAACTGAACGCCAAACACACGGTCTTAAAAAACTGACATTTCAATTTGATTTTGAATCACACAGCCATACAGTTTTTGACATCTTTCAAAGGGACAAACCTTTTTCTCTGTTCTTACCGTCACCAGGGGGCGATATTACCATTTTCCATCCCTGTGTGGAGCTCAGCATTTTCCACATGAGGCTTTTTGGTTGAAAAACTACCACTTCATTGCATTTATGAGCCTCTTTTTAGATACAGACCAATTACAGACACATTGCTTATATGGTTGACGCTCTTTAGCTGTTTAATGATTGCAAACAGCTTTTTATTGTCATCATGTGTATTGTCTTCACACTGCAAAACCAGTCAAATAAACCCTGTGCAGAGCTCACATTACATGAATCAATGCATCATTATAGTTCAACATAAATGTTCATGTTGATTTAGTTTGTTTCATTATACCTCTCATTATTGCTTTCTGACCTGTTAAGAGATATACTTTGTTTTATTAAATATTGATTTAATCATTTTGTGTGGACTGCAGGAAGATTAGAGCTGCAACAGACAAAGCTATCAGAGCTCTACATAAAGAAATGTTTTAAGCAGTCTGATTTGTATTTGCGCAGCAGACTAAATTTTTCTAACACAGGGGATTTGAAAAACAGAAAAAAGATGTGTACAGCCGGGCCTGAGGAGAAGGCAACTAAATGGGCAACAAATAAAAGTATCTTGTGGGTCTAGAAGGTTTATGTTTGTCAGAATGGTGCGAAAATCAATGGGCTCCTGAGGGGGAGGCTGTGCTCTGATAGGCCTCCTCCTCTCTTCACCGCAGAGCAGGAATCAGTCAAGGATATTAATCTAAACATCAGTCATGCATGGGGAACACCCCACAAGGAGAATAAGCCTGCTCATCCATGCATCTCCTGGGGGAGGTAGGGGGGCTTTGAGGAAGGGAGTTGAATGGGTAAGTATGTCAGGGTATCATCTCAGGAGATGTGATGTGGGCTGACTTTAGGCACACAGACAATAAAACCCAAACTGAAGAGGTTGGCACCATCAAAACGGAAATTCGTGCATAGCTCACTGAACCACGTTATAATCTGTGCAACAAATACGTCACGCGGAGCTGCCACAGTCCAAACCGGCAGAGAACAATACACAGCTCCTGTGTGGGAAAAGAGGAAAGCTATATTTCTCTGAGATATATGTTAATGTAATTCATCTTAATGCAATCTTATTCTCCAGCCATTCCAATAAGACACACAAGTAGCCGAGAATATTAAAATTCAGGAGCAGTCCATTTTCTTATTACCTACAATATGCTGTATTTCATTTTCTCTCATCACCTTTATAAAAGTACCTCCTCTGCCTCTCTGTTTCAGCCGCTCGCGCTGGGTTATCTTCCCAAGGACAAGTACAGATGAGGAGATGCTCCTACATGAGGACAGCACATGCACTGACTGCAGGGGGTCTGAGCTTTCTACTCCACAGCTGATCTAATGTACCACAACTGTCAACAGCTACAGAAACACGCCAACATGGTTCGTCTTAACTCGCTAATCGATGACATAACCTAAGCTGAAAAGCGTGGGTGGAATTTCAAATTAAACTCCTGGAGACACAGCCAGGCAGATTTTCAATCAATTCCATATTCAGCTTTACCGCTGCAACTGGATCTGTTATAACTCAATGATACCAAAGCCGGTATATTTATTGAGAAAATGTTAAATAATTGCAGAGGTTTGCAGAGTCTTGTTATGTCTGCCCTGAATTTCAGAGATGTAGAACTTACTGT